TCTGGAAAGTGTCTAAACCGGGCGAACCCTTGTGGCCGTCGCCGTGGGGTAGGGGTCGTCCCGGTTGGCACATAGAGTGCTCAGTGATGGCCAGCTCTCTGATTGGCGCCCAAATGGACATACATTCGGGTGGATATGACCTGAAGTTTCCGCATCACGACAACGAAATGGCTCAGTCGGAGGCCTATTACGACACCGGCCGGCCGTGGGTTCACTACTTCTTACATTCCGGTCATCTCACGATATCGGGCTGTAAAATGTCGAAATCGCTGAAGAACTTCATCACCATTAAGGAGGCACTGACGAGGAATACGTGGAGACAATTGCGGTTCGCATTTCTTCTTCACTCGTGGAAAGAGACCCTCGACTACAGCGACAACACTATGAGTGATGCCATTCAATACGAGAAGTTCGCTAATGTATGGCCAGACACGACCCAAACACCACTTCGTGTATTATTTGTGGTATTAATCGAGTCTTTTCTCTCTTTATCTTTTGATTAGGAGTTCTTTCTAACAGTGAAAGACTTGATCCGTACGAGTGATGCGTCGATCGTAAAGTGGACTCAAAAGGAACACCAATTGAACCAAAAGTATTTATTTGAAAATACTTTTTGTTTAGTCTTTTCAAATGATTTATTATTCAACTTTTAAACAACAGATTCCAAGAGTCGATCGATTCGGTGGACACTTCTCTGTGCGATAATATCGACACTCGGAGTGCGTGCGAACACATCCGTCGACTCATCGCTGCCTCCAATTCCTATCTCCAGGAGTGCTCGCAATCACCGAATGTAACACTCATTACGAATATAAGTGTTTATATCACGAATATATTCGACATTTTCGGTGTCGGCGCTAAAGACCAGACCATAGGCTTTACCAGCGATGGCGCCGAAGCCGGCGGTAATCGGGAGGCGATTGTTATGCCATTCCTCGAGATAATTGCCGATTTGAGAGAGAAGTTGCGCTCAAAAGCTATGGATTTAAAAGACAAGGAATTGTTGCGAATATGCGATGAATTAAGAGATGAGATATTACCAGAAGTTGGCGTTCGACTCGAAGATTACGAATCGGTGGCCGGTGTGACCAAAACGCGGCTAAAACTGGTCGATAGGCAGACGTTAATGAAGGAAAGGGAGGAACGACTCAAAGTAGAGGAGAATAAGCGCTTAGAAAAGGAACGGAAGGCCGAAGAGAAGAGATTGGCGGACGCGAAGAGGGCTGAGGAGAGCAAAGTGTGTCCACTCGATATGTTTACCGCAGAAACGGATAAATACTCGGCGTTTGACTCGAAAGGAATGCCGACTCACGACTCGGACGGCAAAGAGTTGGCCAAATCTGCCCTCAAAAAGCTCTCAAAACTATATGCAATTCAAGAGAAGAAACACAATGAATGCGTTAAATGTAAAGCTGTTTAAAATTGCATTCAGTTTTTTGTACCTCTTATTCAGAAAATGGATTTTCAATCGAATTATTATTATTTATAATTTGTATTTAATTTAATTAATTTATGAAAAAGTTTTTTAGAAAAGACATTAAGTATTACAATAGAAGAGACAAATTGATACCACAGTTAACAATGGATTAGCAAAACT